TGAGTGTGAGAGACGAAGCCACACTGCAACGGACTCTGCACTTGGCCTCCTCCTAGTGATGCCGCATTGCATGCCAGGAACATGACATCACACACGCGCAATGTGCGCTAGGCCCACTCAATCTTAGGTGCAAGATGGTGCCTCTTCTTTAATCTATATGGGTGTGCAGGGGAAAGCAAGGGTCAGCCAATGTATGCTATAAGGAAACACTTCTCCAGTGCCCTCTCCTTTTTACTAGGGGGAAAGAGTGATGAAGGAGCAAGGATAAGGGATTTGACCTGTTCTATAAACAATTTGGGGACGCGGGTGCGCTGTGGGTTAAACCACAGAGCCTAGGTCTTGCCGATCAGAAGGTCGGCGGTTCAAATCCCCGTGATGGGGTGAGCTCCCGTTGCTCGGTCCCTGCTCCTGCCAACCTAGCAGTTCAAAAGCATGTCAAAGTGCAAGTAGATAAATAGGTACCGCTCCGGCCGGAAGGTAAACGGCGTTTCCGTGCGCTGCTCTGGTTCGCCAGAAGCAGCTTAGTCATGCTGGCCACATGACCTGGAAGCTGTCTGCGGACAAACGCCGGCAATAAAGCGAGATGAGCGCCGCAACCCCAGAGTCGGTCACGACTAGACCTTTACCTTTACCTTTATAAACAATTTGAGTATACACAATCTTAGATAAATTATAAAGGATCATATTTTGAACAGTAGAATTGCATGTGATGTGAAGCATTATTATTTAAAAAAAGATGACGCTTCAATGCTCTGTGCATTATCTGGGCATAAGTCCCATCAAAATCAGTGGGATTTACTACTGAAAAAAACATGCATAGGATTCCACTCCATGGCTTCTAATAAGTATTGGCACTTACAGCTTACTTTTAAAAACAAAACACTGCAGTTCATTTACATTTTCTTTTAAAAGTTTGGCAGTGAGTAACAGAGGTACAAGTTCTCTGGGCATCTGATAACCTGGAGAAAAATGCTGTAGGAAAAAGAATGGGATTTTATTTATTATCACTGTATCTAAGGCTATTTGAGGTCTCCTGTCCACTCACAGCCATAATTATATCTCATACGGAGCCAATTGTTTCCCTGGAAGAATAATTACAACAGTGAATAATGGGTTAATATAAAACATAAAGTAGAGTGTTTAGTGGAGGAATTTGAGAACAGATAAGAAATATAGCATCCAACATATTCTTCCATAATTGTACAGTCCTCCAGAGATAATGGATATCATTATCAACGGCGCCTGTCCTAGGAAACTTGGCAAGGTTATGATTGTTTGTTACAGCTTTGGTTATATTAACATACACATTAATATTTATAAATATTTGATGTCATGTTAATTTTTCATATAAGATGATTTATGTAATGTTGCTGTGCTCTGTTAGAGGGCATTTACTGTAGGCTTCAAAAGGGAACTGGATTGATGCATGTTCTTTAAGGGGACTTGACTGTATATTACTGTACATACACACGATGAATCATTCCAGGAGAAAGTGATTCAAAAATAAATTATCTGAATTGTAGAAAAGCTCCATTAACATTTTAAATAAAACATAATGAAAAAGACCATACTAAAGTATTTCATATGTCTTATTAAATAGCAGGCATTTCTTGTCAACGACTGAAAGTTTTTATCTGAATAATGTATTCCAAATATTTTATGCCCCTTTTATTTTTTTTCCTTTGGTCCGCATCCTAAATTAAATTATGATCAAGTGTGGATAATTCATATTATGGTGTGATACATAAGTATAAATAGCATATCACCTATTGTTTGAAGTGAATTACTTTCCTCTTTGTCTTTTACAAGCAGAACAATGTTCATCTCTGTATGTCTCCATGAACCTAATATGTAGGTCTAGAATTGTGATTATTCATAAAACACTTGATGAGTTCAGGTAGTACTAGATGAAGGCTTTCATACATATATGTGTAGATATTTTAGTTGTCACATCCCTAACACTCAGGATGGTATCAATTTCCAAAGGATGCTAGAGGTTGGAAGAGATCTGTTGCTTCAGCAATGAAGCAACTCTGACTGGAAGCTCTTACAGGAATTGGAGAAAGTACTAGCTCAGAGTCTGGCTAGGTAAAAAGAGGGTGTTACTCAGACTCATTTTGACTGAACAATTTATGCATATGTGCTCAGCAGCCAGTCCTGAGCCATGTATCGCCTTGCATAAATCTCCGATTTGCAAATTCCCCACTAATGTAATACCAGCACACATGCTGCTTGCTGTCGTCCTTGGCCACCCTTAATCAGTGTCGGCTACAGTTCCTAATGGATGGGGGGGGGGCATCCTTGGAATGATGCTGAGTCAAAGGTTGTTGCTGCCCCTCCTCCCCACTTGCAGAAGCCATTAACGTCCTCTGACAATTGGGTCCATCCTCAGTGCTGGAGCGTAAAGGATGTATCATCCAGTCAGGCCCTGACAATGACAGTGTGGCTGGGTACAAACCCACTCACTCACACCTTCTAATAGCCAAAAGCCAACTGGAACGACAATGCAGCATGGGGGAGAGAGGAAAATGGTGTGCCACCACAGCAAATACTTGAGGACGCCAACCAAGTTCTACTTATTAGAAGAGGTGAGTGGCTGTAGAAAGACACACTTGGTGCATCTGTGGGATCGCTGACAAATGAAACCAGCTGGGGATTATGAAACTGGAGAGTCACTGAGCATGTCAGCATCAGGGCAGGGTGTTGTTTGCTCCCGCCTGCAACCAACCTGCCACTCAGGACCCCTCTCCCGCCTCCTTCAGAAAATAGCACAACATATACAGCTAGATGAAAAATCCTCCCCAACCCTGCCATTAGTCACACACACCTTTTTATTTTTATTTTCATATTCTTGTGGTGGAGATTTGGAGAAATTTCTTTTCTTTTATTGGTGGGGCAGTTAATGTGATAAATATGAGGTGGCAGGGTGTTTGCAAAAGTGGTTTTAAAAGCTTTATCACTCCTTCAGGTGGCAAAAAAACAATAAGAAGCAACAGAGACTGATATTGTTCCTCAGTGAGAATGTCCCAATACGAATGGGACAACTTTGTTTCATTCCTTCTGGACTGTTCTCACTGATGAGCTCTGTGTTGCAATTGTTGAACGTTGTATGACCTTTGTTGTTAATTGCAGCTCTGCTGCCACTTAAAGCGGTGACAAAAGTTTTTCCCAGTACAGTGGTACCTCGGGTTAAGAACCTAATTCGTTCTGGAGGTCCGTTCTTAACCTGAAACTGTTCTTAACCTGAGGTACCACTTTAGCTAATGGGGCCTCCCGCTGCCGCTGCTCCGCTGCTGCACGATTTCTGTTCTCATCCTGAAGCAAAGTTCTTAACCTGAGGTACTATTTCTGGGTTAGCCGAGTCTGCAACCTGAAGAGTCTGTAACCTGAAGCGTCTGTAACCCGAGGTACCACTGTAAAAGAAAGACAGCAACCATTTGCCACCCCATATCTATTGTGTTAAGTCATGCACACAGAAACACACACACAGAAAAATATGAGAAAATTTGCCCAAATATCACAAAAATATTAAGAGATTGTTTTGCCCACCTGAACCCTGAAATGCAGAGAAGTTTGGGCTGAATACTTTAACCAAGCACTACAATGTACACAAACTTGAAGTTATGTTAATAAGAATTTTTGCTGTGACATTGCATACCCCAGGGTTAAATAAAAATGGAATTATAATATTCTTCAATTTTGCTTTTTTCTGGTTGTAGAAATAAATGTTGAGTCTTCATACAGAATGCCAGGTAAGGGCTTCACACTTCATAGGAGTAGTTTCCTTGGGGAGGAAAAATCCAAGACAATCTGTGACAATGAGTGTGACTGCCTGGACACAGCAGTATAACTAAAATGATGGCATGCATCAGTAGGTCTTCTCTGTGGAAACATCAGTGTGGGCACCATGTACAGGGAGACCATGGCCATTTTTTGATAGACTGGTAAAATGGAGTAAAAATTCAAGTATCCGTGTCTATTTAGTAATAGTTTATATTTAGTAATAGTTTATACACAATATATGTTTCTATTTAAGTTTATTGGCTGTATGTGGTAGTGGTGATTATTTAATTTTGTTTTTATAAGACTTTAACAAGGATGAATTAAAAAAAAGATATGCTGACTTATGCAGCAGCTGATTCTAAGTGAATATTTTAACAAAGATTTGATTTTTTTTTTTTTAAAGCTAGCAAAATTTCCATTGATTTGTTAGGCATGAGAAGCCTGTATCCCACTAAATCGTATTCCCTGTCTCTTATAGTTGAGAAGGAGTGACAGAAGATTTATGATACTCCCTTTAAGACTGTTCTGAAGGCAGACTGGTGTTGTCACCATCTCACCTTTATTCTTGATAAGGAGCAGAGGGTGAAATGCCTCATCCCACACTTCCTTCTTCCTACTTGCCTGTGCATTCCAACAACAGTGGACACTTCAGTGAGTGCCTGCAAGTTACAGATATAAGAAGAACGCTGTGTCTTCTTATCGCCCCATAGCTCTCCCTACAAACCACCTTCTCTGTGGCAATAGATGCAACTTCCCATTGTGGTAGCAATAGAAGGAGGTCTAAATTCAGTTGCAACTTCATATCTCAGTTGATCCAGAATGAGCCATGTCTTTGTTAAGAGGTAGGTGATTTGGAAAAATTTCTTTTTTCCAGTAAATCACAGTGGAGGCATACCTCACAATACCTGTCTTGAACATGAGGCAAACAGCAGGTAGCTGCAAGGGATGGTTCAGTGAAAATATCCTTCTGCCTTGCCCCACTGGATATTCAGAATAACCAAATAACAGAAGTTCTGAACTTCCTTTCATAGTTATTTGATTTGTTTCACTAACAGCTTATACCCTAACCAAATGGAATTGAGTTCTCTTCCTTCTCTGTCTCATCTTATAATCCAGCATTGAATTGCCTGTAGATCAAAATGTAATGGATGTAGTGTAAAAAGGCTACACCAGGGCAGGAGTTAGATACCACATTTAATAATAATAATGATGATGATGATGCCTTTGTTCACTTGCTGCTGCTATTTTAACATACATTTTGATTCAGATAAAATGCACTGTTGAGTTCCTTTGCTCCGCCACATTCCCCTTTAAGCAGGCTATACCCTTTCTCAATTCTTCATGCTTCTCTGTAATTCTTTGAAATATTTTAATAGTATGCCAGTTAAGAAGCATAGTGGACGCCTTTGCAGATACCTACCTGAAAGTTACACATGGGGGTATGAAAAACTATAAAAAATTATTTTCAAAATGTACAATAAAGTAAAACATTGGAGGATGGCCATAGTAGAGTTTGGATTTGATATCCCTCTTTATCACTACCCGAAGGAGTTTCAAAGCGGCTAACATTCTCCTTTCCCTTCCTCTCCCACAACAAACACTCTGTGAGGTGAGTGAGGCTGAGAGACTTCAAAGAAGTGTGACTAGCCCAAGGTCACCCAGCAGCTGCATGTGGAGGAGCGGGGACATGAACCCGGTTCACCAGATTACGAGTCCACCGCTCTTAACCACTACACCACACTGGCTCATAGTACCATATGGACATATTGTGTCTCTCATTCCCCATACTTCAGACCAAAATGTGCATTTGGAACTAGCAGGCCAGATGCAATCTTATTCTCCTTCTCTTCCCTTCCAACTGCTTTCCCTTTCCCTATTAGTGTATATGTGTATGGGTTATTACCATTATCATTTTATATCCACCCTCTCCTTCAAGGAGCTTAAAATGGTGTACATGGTTCTCCCCTGTTCCATTTTATCCAACTGTGTGAAGTAGATTATGCTGAGAGACAGTGACTGGCTCAAGGTTACCCAATGGCTGAGTGGGGTTTTGAATCATGCTCTCCTAAGTCCTAGTCCAAACTCTAATCACCAACTCTCTGTTTTCTGCACAATCTAATGGTCACTAAAAGCCCAAACTGGCACATTTGGAAGTTTTTGTTGGGATAACAAATTCTGAGTCAATTAGAATCATAGAATCATAGAATCATAGAGTTGGAAGAGACCACAAGGGCCATCGAGTCCAACCCCCTGCCAAGCAGGAAACACCATCAGAGCACTCCTGACATATGGTTGTCAAGCCTCTGCTTAAAGACCTCCAAAGAAGGAGACTCCACCACACTCCTTGGCAGCAAATTCCACTGTTGAACAGCTCTTACTGTCAGGAAGTTCTTCCTAATGTTTAGGTGGAATCTTCTTTCTTGTAGTTTGGATCCATTGCTCCGTGTCCACTTCTCTGGAGCAGCAGAAAACAACCTTTCTCCCTCCTCTATGTGACATCCTTTTATATATTTGAACATGGCTATCATATCACCCCTTAACCTCCTCTTCTCCAGGCTAAACATGCCCAGCTCCCTTAGCCGTTCCTCATAAGGCATCGTTTCCAGGCCTTTGACCATTTTGGTTGCCCTCCTCTGGACACGTTCCAGTTTGTCAGTGTCCTTCTTGAACTGTGGTGCCCAGAACTGGACACAGTACTCCAGGTGAGGTCTGACCAGAGCAGAATACAGTGGCACTATTACTTCCCTTGATCTAGATGCTATACTCCTATTGATGCAGCCCAGAATTGCATTGGCTTTTTAGCTGCCGCGTCACACTGTTGGCTCATGTCAAGTTTGTGGTCAACCAAGACTCCTAGATCCTTTTCACATGTACTGCTCTCAAGCCAGGTGTCACCCATCTTGTATTTGTGCCTCTCATTTTTTTTGCCCAAGTGCAATACTTTACATTTCTCCCTGTTAAAATTCATCTTGTTTGTTTTGGCCCAGTTCTCTAATTTGTCAAGGTCGTTTTGAAGTGTGATCCTGTCCTCTGGGGTGTTAGCCACCCCTCCCAGTTTGGTGTCATCTGCAAATTTGATCAGGATGCCCTTGAGTCCATCATCCAAGTCGTTGATAAAGATGTTGAATAAGACCGGGCCCAAGACAGAACCCTGTGGCACCCCACTAGTCACTCTTCTCCAGGATGAAGAGGAACCATTGATGAGCACCCTTTGGGTTCGGTCAGTCAGCCAGTTACAAATCCACTGAGTGGTAGCATAGTCAAGACCGCATTTTACCAGCTTCTTTACAAGAATATCATGGGGCACCTTGTCAAATGCCTTGCTGAAATCAAGGTAGGCTACATCCACTGCGTTCCCTTCATCTACCAGGCTTGTAATTCTGTCAAAAACGAGATCAGGTTAGTCTGACATGACTTATTTTTCAGAAATCCATGCTGACTATTGGTGATCACAGCATTCCTTTCTAGGTGCTCACAGACTGTTTGCTTAATGATCTGCTCCAGAATCTTCCCTGGTATTGATGTCAGACTGACTGGGCGGTAATTATTTGGGTCCTCTCTTTTCCCCTTTTTGAAAATAGGGACAACATTTGCCCTCCTCCAGTCTGCCGGGACTTCGCCTGTTCTCCAGGAATTCTCAAAGATGACTGCCAGCGGTTCTGAGATCACATCTGCCAGTTCTTTTAATACTCTTGGATGCAGTTCATCTGGCCCTGGAGACTTGAATACATCTAAACTAGCCAAGTATTCTTGTACTATCTCCTTAGTTATTCTGGGCTGTGTTTCCTCTGCTGAATCATTTGCTCCAAATTCTTCAGGTCGGGCATTGTTTTCTTTATCGGAGAAGACTGAGGCAAAGAAGGCATTGAGGAGTTCAGCCCTTTCTATGTCCCCTGTTTGCATTTGACCATCTTCTCCTCTGAGTCACCCCACTGTTTCTTTGTTCTTCCTTTTGCTACGAACATACCCATAAAAGCCTTTTTTGTTGCTTTTAACCTCTCTAGCAAGCCTGAGTTCATTCTGTGCTTTAGCTTTTCTGACTTTGTGTCTACACGTGCTGGCTATTTGTTTGAATTCCTCTTTGGTGGTTTCCCCTTTTCCATTTTTTGTACACATCCTTTTTAATCTTAACTCAGTTAAAAGTTCTTTAGATAGCCACCCTGGCTTCTTTAGGCACCTTCCATGTTTCTGTCTCATTGGTATTGCCTGACATTGTGCTTTTACTATCTCCCTCTTAACAAACTCCCAGCCATCATGAACTCCCTTTCCTTTTAGTATTACTGTCCATGGGATCTCACCCAGCACTTCCCTAAGTTTTATGAAGTCGGCTTTCTTAAAGTCAAGAAATTCAGTCCTAGTATGCTTGGCTGCTCCTTTCCGCTGTATAGTAAACTTCAGAAGAGCATGATCACTCGCACCTAATGATCCTTCCACTTCTACCCCACTAACCAGGTCATCAACATTGGTTAGGACCAGATCTAAAATGGCTGTTCCTCTTGTTGCTTCTCCCACTTTCTGGACAATGAAGTTGTCTGCAAGGCCAGTGAGGAATCTGTTTGACCTTATGCTCTTGGCTGAGTTTGACATCCAACAAATATCTGGGTAATTGAAGTCCCCCTTACTACTATCTCCCTTCCTTTTGCATGCTTGGCCATCTGTTCCAGGAAGGCATCATCTATGTCCTCCGTTTGGCTTGGGGATCTATAGTAAACTCCCACAATGAGGTCACTGTTATTCTTCTCTCCCTTAATTTTGACCCAAATGCTCTCACTTTGGCTTTGAGGTTCCAAATCTTGGATCTCTTCACAGGTATACACATCCCTGACATATAACGCCACTCCTCCTCCTTTCTTGTCTGGTCTGTTTCTCTGAAATAGATTGTATCCCCCCATTATTACATTCCAATCGTGGGACTTATCCCACCAGGTTTCAGTGATGCCTATTATGTCATATTTAGTTTGCTGTACCAAGAGCTCAAGCTCATCTTGTTTATTTCCCATGCTTTGCGCATTAGTGTACAGACATTGAAGTCCATTAATCATTCCCCCATGTCTCTTATTTAAGGATTTTTTCCTCCCACCACTAGGTCTGCGTGCTGTTTGCTCCATTTGTTCTATGACATTTGGATTATCGTCTTCATCAATTGATGGACTCCTACCTTCAGGAGCGCTGTCTCCCTCCCCCACATTAGTCAGTTTAAAGCCCTCCTGATGAGGTTTCTGAGATTTTTGGCAAAAACATTTCTCCCAACCGTTGTGAGGTGCAGCCCATCGCTTGCCAGAAGTCCATCTTCAAGAAACTGCAGTCCGTGATCTAAGAATCCAAACCGTTCCTGTTTACACCATTTGCGAAGCCAGCTGTTCACTTCTACTATTTTCCCTCTCTCCCCGGGCCACGCTGTTCAACTGGGAGGACAGATGAGATGACAATTTGTGCATTTAATTGCTTCAATTTCCTGCCCAGAGCCTCGTAGTCTCTTTTGATCTTCTGGAGGCTATTGCTTGCAGTGTCATTGGTTCCCACATGAACCAAGAGGAAGGGGTATTTGTCAGTGGGTTTTATGATTCCTTGCAGTCGTTCAGTTACATCTTGGATCTTAGCCCTGGGGAGACAGCACACTTCCCGAGACATCTTGTCAGGCCCACAGATCACTGCTTCTGTTTGCCTCAGTAGGGAATCCCCTATCGCCACTACACGCCTCCTCTTAGGTTTGGTCAGGGTTCTTCCGTGAGCTGTCCGTTCCAAGGTCGCCTGCACATTCCCTGAGGACTGACTTTGCTGCTCGTCTTCATATACCTGATCGACTGTAATGAGGAGAGATCCTCAAATGGAGTCTGCTCTTCGTCTTCCATGCTAGGGGAGAGGACCTCAAAGCGACTGTGTATTTCTAAACAATCAGAGCGAACCCTGGGCCTCCTACTTCTTTGAGTCACGTTTCTCCATATATCTGGCTCCTGTGTTGGTGAACTAGACTCCTTCTCAGGGGAGTCCCCTGTCTCCTCCTTGGGGGAGACGGTGTGCTCTGTTGCTTCCAAGAAGAGCTCCAGCTCTCTAATTCTTTGGAGCGTAGCTACACGTTCCTCCAGTTGCTGGACTTTGTCTTTTAAGAGGGCAATCAACATGCAATTGCTGCAGGTAAAGCTGCCTGCAACCTTTGGCAAGATGGCAAACATTGCGCAGGAACCGCAGGCGACTGCAGCTGTTCCCTCCCCCCTCCATCTTGAGAACGTGTCGTTGGGGGTGGCTACAGCGGTCCTCCATCATAAAAAGCGTGAAGACAGGACAAATAACTCCCCGCACAAAAAAACCTAGGTCTCCCCCAACAAACGTTTGAGACTAGCTCCCCTAAATCTAAAAGATGGATCAAACTGCGCGCGCCGCTGCCCTGCAAGCTCTGATAAGCTCCTCCCACAGCTAATCACCTGCCTCAACAGAAACCCTGCCCCCTCTGACCTTTGCACAGGGAGAGCAGCTAATCAGCCACAAAGAAACACACACACACAAGAAAACCCTTTTTGCTCCTTCTTCAGCTGCTGTCCTGCCAATTAGCACATCGTATTTTTTGTTCTCATACATTTTCCTCATACAAATAACATATTTCTGTGAGAAGTGTAAATTAGATAAGTGCTCCAACTTCAACGATCAGAGAAGTTACACAAGGTACATCCCTGACCAGGGAAATTGCTGTAGCTGCACCTTGTACATTCTCATCTTGAGCACATATTATACTATTCTGGCAAGTGAGCTATTCATACAACAAGAAACTTTTGTAAAAATGAGGCTATTTTTGCCTTGTGCTGCTTGTGTATCAGTGTCTGTGTGAGAAGCAGAGACAGCAAAAGCTGTATCACACCCTGTGTAAAACCTAGTTGGAACACTGACCTAGTTAGATCAATGAGATTGCTCCGTCCATATATTGCTGTGTTAAAAAGGGGACTCAAGCAGCTGCTATGAAATCAATAAAATATTTAGGACAAATTACGATGAAGATCTAGTCTTTTGGATAAGATTAGTTTTTTAAGGGGAGAAAATCCCCAAACTCCACTTACATTCATTAATCTGTATTGTAATTGTTATGCGCTCATTTGGGGAAACTTTATTTTATTAAAAGTAATATTTAAACATTCAAGTCATCTTCAGCTAATTGACTAATTTTATTACCACTGTTTATGCTATGCTTCTTTTACCCACCCACCCCAAGTTACATGTGCACTTTAAAGTAAGAAACATTACACTGGTCAACAACAAATTTGTTGTCTGCGTTTTTTTTCAGTTGATTTAGGACGAATCTGATGCGCTGAATCCAAAAATCACATTGGTTTTGCTCAATCAGGTCAAGTTTTTGAGCTATGGCCACATGTCTTTTTTTACGTTTTTGTTCACATGTACGCTTGTGTAGAGCATTTTAGAAGAAGTTGGTGGGGGTAAAATGCCATGTCGAATAATTGTTTTGATTGGAAATGATTATTTTAATGACAAGAAGTATTCAGGTCCTATAGTTCTGGGTGATTATGTCGAAAAGGGATCAATTTGAAGTCATAAAACCTCTAAATCTTCCATAAATTGGTGCACAAGTTTTATAAGGCGTGCTTACCATGCTTATTTTGGTATTAAACTTGGTGACCAGGATAAAGCTTGGGTGCCACACATGGTGTGCAAGGCATACACCGAGACTCTACATGGATGGACCAATGGCAAGAGGAGTCTGAACTTTGGAATTCCCATGGTTTGGAGGGAGCCGACAAACCATGTCACTGACTGCTACTTCTGCGCTGTTGATGTGACTGGGATCAACAGAAAGAACCAGAGCAGCCTCAAGTATCCTGATCTTCAATCAGCACGTCATCCTGTAGCTCATTGTGATGAAATTCCAGTGCCTATCTTTGGAGAACTTCCTGACTTTAGTGACGAAGATGCCTCCAGTGTTGAAGGACACGAAGAAGAAGAAGTGGTTCTTGAAGATGATGCTCCACATCCATTTTCCCAAAAGGAGTTGAATGATCTAGTTCGCGACCTCAGCTTGTCAAAGGACTCTGCCGAACTGTTGGCATCTAGAGTGAAGGAAAAAAATCTCCTCTCTGACAGTGCTCGCATCAGCTTCTTCCACAACAGGCATCAAGAGTACCTTTGTTTTTTCTCGGAAGAGAAGGACTTGGTGTACTGTGCAGATATTGCACAGCTTCTGCTCAAGCTTGGAGTGCCACAGTACGAACCCAAAGATTGGAGACTGTTCATTGACAGCAGCAAGCGATCACTGAAATGTGTTCTGCTACACAACGGCAACCAGTTTGCCTCTATACCCCTGGCTCACTCGAGTACACTGAAGGAGAACTATGAAGCGGTGAAGGATGTGCTGGAGAAAATTGGTTATGATCAGCATAAGTGGTTTATTTGTGTTCACCTGAAGATGGTGAACTTTTTGTTGGGACAACAGTCTAGCTTCACCAAGTACCCATGTTTTCTGTGCATGTGGGATAGTAGGGACCGTGCTCAGCATTACACGAAGAAGGACTGGCCTGTGCGGGAGGAACTGGTGCCTTGCAAAGAAAGGAACGTCATCAACGACCCTCTGGTGGACAGAGACAGAATACTCTTCCCACCGCTGCACATCAAGCTCGGCTTAATCAAGCAGTTCACCAAGGCTCTGGACAAGGATGGTGACTGCTTCACTTACTTGTGCCAGGCTTTTCCAGGATTGACCATGGAGAAGTTGAAAGCTGGCATCTTTGACGGTCCTCAGATCCGTCAGCTCATCAGAGATCCAGAGTTCGGAAACTCAATGAACGAAGTGGAACTGGAAGCGTGGAAGGCATTTGTTCTGGTAGTGAAGAACTTTCTTGGCAACAATAAGGCCAGAAACTACGCAGAACTTGTCAACAACATGCTGACTGCTTTCAGAAACCTGGGCTGCAACATGAGCGTCAAGATGCACTACCTATTTTCACATATGGACCGGTTTCCTGAGAACCTGGGTTCAATGAGTGACGAGCAAGGGGGAGAGATTCCATCAGGACATGAAAGAGATGGAGACCAGGTATCAGGGTCGCTGGGACACAGTCATGATGGCTGACTACTGTTGGACTCTGAAGAGAGACCTCCGTGCCGCTGAGCATTCCAGGAGTTCCAAGAAACGGAAGTTCAAGCCCTGAAGTTTGAAAAATGGTGAAGCAACATGCAATTTACGTGTACTTACCTTTATCAATGCCCACCATTCAGTTTACAGTAATCAATGTTTCTATCAGGTAATCAATATATGTTGTTGGAAAAACATTTTTCTCTCTTAAAAACATATTTAGGATGATATGTGTTGACAAAAATCAGCTGATAATGCCACAAATATGTAATCGATTTTGTCACAAGGTCTGATTTTTTTCAAATCAACATAGCACAAAAACCTGACCTGATGGAGAGAAACGGATGCCATTTCCTGGTTAAGCAGTGCAAAAATACTCTAAATCATTTGTAGAAATCTAGACAACATTCAAAAAGTAAAAAATTGTTGCCCAGTGTTATTCATGGAAATAGGATAAAAACGGCTTACAGTTTTAAGTATTGACTTGACTCCTAGCCTTTGATAATTACTTCCTATCTCCCTGGGCTGCTGTGATACATACCTGCAGGTATCCAAGTCTATGTCAACACTAGAAAAACATGATAAAATGGAGAGTCTGTCATTGTAATTCTAATTCACACTTACAATTGTGACATCCACAACATGATTTAGCCATTTAGTAATGCCAAAGTAGTTGATTTCTGAATTCTTTTTTAAAAAATAAAACACCTAATGGCTGCTTAATTGTGATGATGTTCTGAGTGCAAATTCACTTTAGTGCTACATCCAAGATGCAGCAAGAAATAGTTTTGTACCTTCTGCAATGATTCTGATAGTTCCTGATCTCCTAATTTGACTTTTGGGGATTAGAAAAGCATTCAGTACAGTTTTGTTGATATCAGGAAACTATTTGCATTAGCTGGTGTAGGTCTTTCTGCAGTCTTTGTGTTGATACCTTCCCAGTGCAAATGGTTAAGTGTACTGTGGAGACAAAGTGACTGTGTTGATTTCTACCGCTACGGTTTTAGGGCATGGTTTTATTATGCCAGAGAGATTCCTGACTGCCAAGTTTTGGCAGCTTTCCATTCTTAATATTACATTAGTAGTGAAAATTGTTTAAATAAATAGGTTATGGGGCACTAGGTATTTCTTTTAGCAGCTTTCTTTCTGTTATTATCTGAATATGTTTCGTATTTCATATTGATATATAGATGTAGTCTTCTAAATCAATTGTAGTTTGTATGTCTCATTCAGCTGTGTCATTTGTTCACTGGTAAAGTATTTGAAATAAACAAATAAGGCACAAAGACTGCACAGTTTTTAAAATAATGTGAAAAAACAGAACATTACATTACTATTTCTTTTGGGAGGAATGAACTAATAATATGAACTTATATACAGCAAGTGAAAATAATTTGCCCGATGCTCACCTCCTCCAACAATGCAGCAAATATTTGTTGTTTATATTAGTACTATCACAGTCTTATCAGCACATCTTCACTGTGATCATTGCTGTGTCTATGTCTTCTCTAATTTACTTAGGTTTTCTACAGGGACTACTCCATTCGGTTAGGTCTCATTCTCTCAGGCATTTAAGCAGCCCACTGGAACTTAAGTGTTATCTCAAAACAAGTATTTAGCTGAACTTGCGGAGATGCTAGGATAAACTCTGTTCTGTTTTAGCCTTGTTCACAGCTTGCAATGTGCAGAGAGGGCTCTGGCTTCCTGTTGCTTTTGCATATGGCACTAAATTTAGTTCTGGCAAGAATCGCCATTTTTTTGACCTGCTTAATATTGGGGTTCCTGCCCATCAGGATTTGCAATATTAGATTCAGTGTTAGGCACTGTGCAATTGTGCAATTTTTATTTACATAGCTTGATATGCATTTACATGCACAAAATGAGCAAGAGCTGGAAATATGTTAATTTTCCTGCTTCGGGATCAGGGCATCCCTCCTCTTACCATTCTCTGGCACTTCTAGGAAAAGGACATTATAAATACCGGCTAGACTGCAAGCCTAAAACTCCAGCTTGAGCTTCTTCTGTCTTTCTGCTGCAGTTCTGCCCCCCCCCCCCAATCTCTTAAGGCTACATATTGTTTCCTTGCATGTGTCTGAAATGGCCAAAAAGTTGTTTGCTTTTGCACAAACATTTTGATTATTAATAATAAATCTCAGCAAAAGGGATAATTACATGGAATCTCAGTTTTGTAATGTTTCCACATGAAGACGCAACCAGAGAGTGAAGAACAGAACATCAACTGGACACTTTTGATGGAACAATAAATAGATTTGTCAGGCTTAAATCTACACTGTAGTGACCAACCCAAACACATTAATGAAACAGAAAATCCAAACCTTTACATTTGTTGTGTTTAGTGGAGACTTAAGAGTCCAAATTTCAGAGACATTGAATATTCTCTAGTATAGCTGAATAAGATTAAAAGGTTCATGACCTGGGGAAACAAGATAAAATACTAATCAGTCCCATTTATCATTCATTCCACCAATCAATCAGAAGTTATTCTATTTGCCAACACAACTTGTGAGTTAATATTGCCTTGGCCATCAGTAATGTCCTTCAGGATAACCTAAAAAAGACCTATCTTTAGCTGCTAACAACGGAAGTAGCAACAGGTTTGATAAAGCAGCCATTATCATAATTGTGACCGTGATGTGAAATCAGGGTATTTGAATCTGCTGACACAAATTAGGTTGTGGCTTGGTTTGCACATCACAGTAAGCTAAACTGCATTCTGCATGTGAATGTGCATACTCCTGAAGAGAAGCATGCAACCACTTTGCTCCCTGGAACATGCCCTCCAAACATGGGCTCATGGTTAAGTTCTCTGCTCACAAACAAGCTTTGGCTACAGCTTAACTACAAGTCTGGGTTTGGACTACCCACTAAGCTAAATCTTGACGTATCATAGAAGTACTAAAAAGGCCAGAGAGAGGCAAAGCAGCTGCAGACTCCTATCCAGGAGCCTGCTTGCTTGCATAGTCTTGGCAAGCTATCATTTGGCTTATTGTGTCTTGCAAACCAGGCCAGTGTGGCTCAAAATTTCCATGTGAATTAAATATCTTTCAGTACCTTATTTTCAGTAAGCTACCATTTCAACTGAACATGTATATTTACATTGTGTAATTCTCTTAATAATTCTTCCCAACTCTTATGGGAATAATACGTTGGTTTTCCTGCCAAGAATCTGACACCCATTCCTGCTCACTCCACAGACCTCTGTTTTTAAAGAATTCCAGTACTATAGTTGGGGAGTATGGTTGGGGAGTGTGAGTACTAGTTTAAAAACCAAAACATATCAGAGTACTGGGATAATATAGCTGGCACCAACCATTTTATATAGTCTTCTCCGCAGCTAAGTCTGTTCCACTTTCCTTTAAGTACAGAAATATGCTTAGGATCCTAAATCTTTAACAATACGATGAGTACCATACATCAGTATATTAATGTGTACATAATAGGTTACCCACGGGGGAATTAGTAATACCATTATGTTGACAAAAAAAACTTCGTCTGATTGCCCCAGTCTATCAGTATATCTCCTGCAAAACAAGTGATGTCATTCAGTAAGGAGTTGTCTTCCATTATAATAAAACCCATTATAAGCTCACAGTCTACCATTCAGATGAGGAATGATATTTAGAGACTCACGTCCAAGTTCTGCTGACCGCAGTCACATGAATTTTCCTGCCATATAATTAGAACTGTTTGGAAGGGTGTTCCATTTTAGAAAATCAGAAATGCAACATGTCTGAGATAGAAAGAAACTCTGTGTGTACTGTATAGACAAACAGATTGATTAAATTTTATAGCAATTTGGACAAATGGAAGCATGTTTTGGTTTGAACAGATAATTATATATTGTATATTTGAATATTTCACCTGTACTGTGCCCATTAATTTAGTCTTTTGGAGATTCCAACTAGAGTTGCAAACTTCTGAGCAACATCAAAGAGCTTCCATTTAAAAACATATTAAAACTTTATCTGAGAATATTCTTGTCTTAAACTTTAGATGTAGGGGAGAATCCTACATCCCCTAGGGCATTACTTCTTAGACTTTTGAAAATTGAGGCCATCTCCAGAATAATGAAGCTAATCACCTACCCCTAAAAAACCCTATGTGTACATTGCTAGTGGCCCATAATTTTCAAAGTATATGAGGCTAGCATTCGTATGGAGCTCCTTTTACCCCATTTCATCTGTATCTTATTAACTGAGCCCATGTAGTAGCATCCTGAAGCATTAAACAGGTGATATCTCTGTGTCCATCCACTTGTTGAATAGGTAGCAACGCCCTGGTTTTCAGGATTTAATTTGTGCCAGGTCTCACCATGATTTCAGTCTTGGCAACTGTTTTCAGTGCCAGGAGTCCAAGACTATATCTGTTGTTGTTGCCATCTGTCTGTCTCAAGAGACAATGGAGTGCAGCCCCGGAGATGAAGTCATAGAATCATAGAATCATAGAATCATAGAGTTGGAAGAGACCACAAGGGCCATCGAGTCCAACCCCCTGCCAAGCAGGAAACACCATCAGAGCACTCCTGACATTGTCAAATTGCTGCATTAGCAACACCGAAATCACTTCCCCGGAACACAAGCCTGGGCAGTGTGTATGGAGGTCCTGGACTGCCCAGATAACAATACCCCCTCTTCAGCCATGCTGATGGGGTCCAAAGGAAAGCAGAGCAATAGGTTTGCCACCAGCTAGGCTGCAGGGGTTGCTAGAAGAAGGTGTACAAGGCCCCTTCCAACAGTCTTAAGGACTCCACCTGATTTGTGTAGGGTTTCCTCCTTAGCTTTTTCTCCTGAAGCTATCCTGCGAGGCAACAAAGGTTAAGGATCTGAGTTTTCCTTCTCCTAGACGGGCTACCATCCCCGGTTGACGATCTCCATCTGCCCCTCACTTCCCTCTGCAGCACGTGCATAAACTGTCTTCTTGACCGTTTTGACCCACTATTGGCCTTGTCTACTCAATCTGCCAGAGCCTGTCTTTGCATTCAGAGGCTAACTCACTGAAGCAAAGAGGTCCATCGGCTACCCTTACCTGGTTTAGCTGGGCAGTCTAAGCTGTTTACCAGGATGTGACTGCTGTCACATGCTGACAGCTTCTGGGAGCCACATGTGTGAGCTGAGTGCAGGATGTGGACCAAAGGTGGACAGCCCAGCCCAGAAGGAGCTGTCCCCCACCACTGCCAGTACCTAGTGTAAACCCTCAGAATGCTACAAGGAGGGGGAAGAATTGGACTAGCCAAGGTTCTGCTGGATCCTAAGCCTAGCTATCAGTGATGGACTAGATTTGGGCCTCTCCGATGTGCTAGCCTAGAGCTGATGCACCCCCACCCCAGAATGTGGGGAAGACACACTACCCTACCTTCTGCTCTGGCCATCATGAGTGGCAGGGCTTCAGATTTGATGGTGGCTCTGCTGCTCCGTTCAGCCCCACTGGTCCCTGGTCAGGAGTTAGGATTGCTCCCTAATTTGGTTTGGATTCAACCTTTCTCTTTTGACCCACTCTACTTGCTATGCATACCGATTTTGCACTATTAGTGCCACTTTCAGAAGTTATTGTGTCAAGTCTAATGCCATGTGTAGAACTCAATGATTATTTCTTTATTGCAAACGGCTGCAAGAATGTTGTTTTGAACATTCACAAAGTATACGAAAAGCTAATGCATTTTGTGTATTATGCCAGCCTTCTTGCTAACTTCTTGGTATTTGACCTCAGCATCTAGGACTATCAAAGCAAATACCATATGAAAGGTCAGTGTGATAACAGATTCTATAGCCTCAGGTTTTTTTAAAAAAGTTTGTTGTCTACAATTATGCAGCCTTTACAGTATTTAAATTGACTTACAATCTGATTCAGAACATCCACAAGAAAGTCTTCCTGGCCTGAATCCAAAGAACTGTGCAACTAGTTTCACATGCCAAAGGGAACTTTGGATACATTTTCCTTAAACAGCAGCCCCTTATTCCACTTGACAAACCTATTTTGAACTGAAGGGCAGCTTCAAAAGTAGTTTGTGACATGTCTGCTATTCAAAGGGGCGTGGAGCATCAACTGGGCATGCCCAAGCAGTTCTCTGGGTCCCAGCTATTGGATCAAGTAGGGCTTGCTTCCTAGTAAGTCTTGCTTAAGATTTCAGCTTCAGCCCACTGACCTTTCATTATTGTATTCCTACTTATAATTAAGCCCTCTCACTGAAGCATACAACAATTTTTACTGCACTATTTTTGCCTTCTTAATCTACTGCCTTATCTGTTAAACTAAAATTTTAAGGATGTCCCAAGATCTTACAGAAATTTATATGTGCTTGTGTTGTGTGTACCTTATACTCTTGTGAAGAGTCTATTCTATGTGATACAAAACATATAGCAATTTAACTTTATAGTAGTATGGAAAGTAACATCATTAAGCTCCCTCTGCAAATATTTTTACTGCCATTTAAATTTAGACTCTTGTCATATGTCACATTTGATTTTATTTTATTTTTAGGCTAGTGAAAGCATAGCTAAAGGAAACAATCTTGGCTAAGCATGCCTTGGGGGTCCTCTCTGCCTGCTTTCTTCGTTCCTTATACTTTTGTCACTCGAGCTGCATAGATGCACTCCAATAATTAATAGTAAACTGGGTGGGGAGAAAAAATTATTGGACCCCTTCTTGAGATCTTGTGTATAAAAAGGAAAAGTTCCCATGAGTGAAGTATATAAGTTAGCTTTTTTCAGGAAAAAGAAAAGGAATGAATTACATTTTTCTTCTTGTCCTTTAAATGAATAGCATAGTTTGGGTGAAATTATCAGGCAATTGCATGCCTTTTATGCAGATAATGCTATTTGATGAAAGCGGTGTTTTGATCTGCTAAGGATAATACAGATCCAGGGTTGGATTCATTGGTAAGAGTAAAGCTGTCTTCTGTGATAACTTCATCTCAGCATGAGGTCAGACGGGGGAAACTGGGATGGGGGATTAAAAAATGACACAGTCGGAGCAGTATTCAGTTCCCTGCTGTGCTCCTGGCTGCACACTATAGCTTATGTTTCTGATCTGTTATGGTATTGTCTGCTTTTCTCTCCCAGAGCAGAGATTGCTTAAAACTTTTCTTTTTTCAGCTAGAGGGATTAGTTCAGTGCAGCTTTTTTAATTAAAGAAACTGTATCTTTTTCAAGGCAATTTAAGGCTGCAGTAGAAGGCCATCAGCATTCATAACTTAGTACTATTAACTATAACAAAGAGTTGCTATACCTTTTAAATTTTAAAATAGGAGCCAATCTGCAGAATTTTAGAATTCATAATTGCTCCTTACCCAAAATAAGTAGCACTGAATGAATTACTGTCTAGCAGCTTCAAATATGATGCATTCCATTTGGCTTAGCTTCCTTTATTTAAACCCCCATGGTAATTGTAGAGTGTTTTAATTGCATAAATAAGTGAAAATAGTTCTGGTGTACGCCTCCTTTGTTCAAAACTTATAAGGAATATTTATCCATTAAAAAAATGTCTGTACATATGCAACACACACATGCATAAAGTATTCAGTACTCAGGAAATATAAATTTGAGATGAATTTACAGCTCAATTTAACCAAGGTAAATTGATGGAAACCTCAAATATTTCAAATAAGGCCCATATGGTGATCACTTTACAAAGCATATAGGGATGGTGCTTGGGTTGCAACATACACATCTCCAGCTAAATTCCATGTCAGATCAATTAGAAACAGTTCTCCTGGACAGACAGGAACAGAGTGTGTTGCCACTAGACTGACAGGGTATAGACATGAAAGCAGCAAGACTAGGTCCTTCCTATTATTATTATTATTATTATTATTATTATTATTATATTACTTTAATTGGAAAACAATATTGTCTTCATATTTTTATTAGTAAACATATATAAGATCAGTTGTATAACCCCTCCCCCCAATGAAAGAAATTATTTCCCCCACCACTTTTCAGTCAGGCTGGTGTATACTGCTGGATGCATCAACTTGAAAGTTTTGCATTATGTAGTCCCTGAGACCTGTAGCTATGTTTGAGCTTAACAGTTGATGGCAACAACTGTTAGAAATTATTTCAAGCATTCTGTGGTCAGAGGAAATGGAACTTTAAGAAAGTCTATGAGGGTGTCATAGTTGAAACTAATTTTATTTCTACTCCAAAAAGTAAATATGAATATACCATAAATATATGTATTGGTTATCTGTATACTATATACAAATATATACAAATAAGTGAGTGATATATAATTAAGGACCATAATTAATGTAGCACTTTTAACTTGGAAAATATTTTACATTTGTTGTGTTGCTTTTTTGTTCCCATTTTATGGAGAGAGAATTGAGGCTGCGGGAGAACGATTTGGCTAAATAACTCTCTTGCCAGCTTACACACTAAATCAGCGGCTGGATAATATTTTTCACTCAGTTTATCTACTCTGTCTTTCCATCATGGATGTTATAGGCAATTACCTTATAGCATAATATTTGACAGTAGATCCTGAGAAAGTGAACGTAATTCCATTGATTAAATTTAACAAGGTTGTGTAAGTGGCCATTGGGGAACATCTACCAGTGTTAAGGATTCTTCACAATAACTCAAGTGTGGGCAGGGGGAGCTGAAGCATTTCATATCAGAAGATTGTACATGCCTGTTTTACTGTAGGTCCTGGGAACCTGCTGTCAGTCATAGTTTTCCAATAAAAGTGTGTATGATAAATAGACATATGAGCAATCGTCTCACATGAGATGGACATGAGCATGGGATCCTCACACCTGTGTCCGTTGCAGACTACTGTAATGTGTGATATACCTTAAAGGTAAAGATAAAGGGACCCCTGACCGTTAGGTCCAGTCACAGATGACTCTGGGGTTGCGGCGCTCATCTTGCTTTACTGGCTGAGGGAGCTGGCGTACAGCTTCTGGGTCATGTGGCCAGCATGACTAAGTTGCTTCTAGTGAACCAGAGCAGCACACAGAAATGCCGTTTACCTTCCCGCCAGAGCGGTACCTATTTATCTACTTGCACTTCGTGCTTTCGAACTGCTAGGTGGGCAGGAGCAGGGGCCGAGCAACAGGAGCTCACCGCGTCGCGGGGATTCGAACCGCTGACCTTCTGATCGTCAAGCCCTAGGCTCTGTGGTTTAACCCACAGCGCCACCCGCATTAGGATTCCCTTAAAGACAGTTTGGCGACTGATAAAGAATTTTGCTGCCAGTTTATTGATGCGTGTGGATAGGGGAGAACATACTGTATCTATTCTGAGTTATCTGCATAAGCATTAGCTAAAGTTGTTTTTAGACAAATTTTTATAGTAAGTACAGAGCTTTAAATCCTTTACATGCCTCAGATCTCAAGTATCTTAAACTCCCTAAGGTTTTAAGAATGGCCACTGTTACCTTCCGA